CGCGGGGTATTAAAATATCTCCCGCGGTATTTGCATTAACATGGCTGCCACTTTTTTCCGGCTTGGAGATAAGCCGGAGAATAGCGCCAGTCTAGACGTGATTCTCCGGAAAATAAAGCCTTTTCCGGAGGATCTCTTATTCCTACTTGAAAGTAGGAATAACAGATCCTCCGGAAAAGGCTTTATTTTCCGGAGAATCACGTCTAGACTGGCGCTATTCTCCGGCTTATCTCCAAGCCGGAAAAAAGTGGCAGCCATGTTAATGCAAATATCGCGGGGGATATTTAAATCCCCCGTGGATTTGCCTATTCCAAAGTGCTACATTAGCATACCTTTTCCGAAAGGGAGGCCAGTGTAGACACAGCCATAGATGGTATCTATAAAGTGCTGCCAGACCATTAGTCTGTACAGGATAAACTTAAAAAACAACAAACTCGGCTACACCCTGAAGCTGGTATAACTTACGCAGCATGCATTCCATTAGTGTGCTTGTCTCTGCTTGGATAGTATTTAGTGCCTTCACCACTGGGCCCATAACCATGGAATATTCTGTCAATAAAACCAGCTCTGCTGCATTCAGCCTGTCATACAGTCAATACGTAATGTTAATAAAAATACAGAATGATCAGGGTTTGTGTTTTTAACAAAAAGAAAAGCATAAAGTGAAGAACTGCTTCTTGCATACTAATTCTCCGCACCTGAGGACTCCCCTGCCCTTGGCCCCATGACTGCACTATGCCAAGCAGCAGGGCTGGCAGTGGGGCAGCCGTTCCAGCCAGGTTCTGGAGGAACTGGGTGTGAGGGGGAGGCAGAAGGGGAGGGGCTCGGGTTAGGGAGCCTGGTCAGTGGCCATCCCTGCTCACCGTGCTGCCCAAGAGTGGTTCTTGCTCTGCTTTGGCCCAGCTGATGCCCCCCTCCCTCAAGTTGCTCAAATGCTAAGAGCCAGGCATGCCGACTCAGGGGCTTCCCCACGGGCTGCACAGGGGCTGGCAGGGAGCCTGTGGAGCCGCAAAACTGGATGTTCAACAGCCTGGGCCAGTGACGCTGCCTGGCATCTCCAGGAGCCTGTTGGGCCAGGGGCTTCCAGTCCCAAACTGGACACCTGCCACCCTCATTCCTCCCCCCTTGCCCTGCCCCCATCCCCTCACAGCTCCCCACTCCCACCCCTCCTAACTTCTGTCGCTCAGCTAGGGAGACCCTGTCTGAGTCCCCCACCAGGCAGGCACAGGAGTGGATGAGGCTCTCACACCCCAGGGATTCATGAGCTCATCCAGCACTGTGACATGGCTCCCCATGACGGTCAGTGTGCATTGCACAACTGCTCACCATAGACATGTAAGCCTGGGTGACCCTGCCCAACCTGGTGCCAGCTCATATTCAGTCCCCAGACCTCCTGGGCACTGGCACATACTGGCTCACCGGGGTGTGTGTGTGATTAAAAGAGGCATTGGACTGGCAGAGACGGGGCTGGGGCTGGACTCTGGGAAATGCTGGGGGGTGGCTGTCCGTGCTGACCCCCTGGGACTGGCTGTGCCTGTGGCGCTGGGGGAGGGTTCGGTGTTTTTCAGGGTCTGGACGAGGGTTTATTGTGACACTGGGAGCAGCCCAAGGCCAGGAGAGGGGCAGAGCCAAGTGTGAGACCCCGATATGTCCAGGGGATGGGGAAGGGGGCATCTCCTGCCTGGCAGAGGAAGCTCCAGACACCAGACAAGCTACCCTGGAGCATAAGACTGTTGGTTGCTCCCCTCCTCCACCTGCCCTTGAAGAGGAGCCGGCCCCAAACCCTCTTATCTGTGTGAGCTCTGGGGGAGGGAAGGACAAGCCAGGGCAGAAAGAACTTTCTCTCTCCCAGGCTTAGATGCTGGGGGTGAGACAGGGAGGGAGGGGGATGTCGGAGGGGAGGGTTAGGCACAAACTGAAGAATCTGCAGCTGGTGGGCTGGTGCTACAGGACACAGGGAGCTGGCTCACTAGAGGTGCCTCTATTCCCTTGGGCCAGGCAGGAGCGCACTGTGTGTGTGTCCAGCTGCTGCGTTCACTGTGAGTAACTCTCCTTCCTTTCTCTGGGCCAGTAAATTGTTTGTGACGGTGCCATAGGACTGGCTGCAGGCGCTGGGTTTGCTTTCAGCTGGGAGGTGCCAGTGGCTTTGGGAAAATGCTCCTTTGGGATGGGCAGAAAACAGAGTGGTGGGGGAATTGGGGAGGGAGCAGGCTGTCTCTCACTCAGGGTGTCCTGCTGGGGTGGGGGGAGGAGGGTTCCCTTGAATTTATTTCTCCCTATGTGTAGAATAAATGTTGTTGTGTGCACCAAGGCAGGTGCAGATGTGCACCACCCATAGAAACACAGGCTGCTGCCTGGGGTGGGGGGCAGGGGGAGGCTCTGCTAATCAGCTGGACAGCACCTGAATCTCTCCTGAGTGGCTGCCCAAGTGCTCAGCTTACAGGGAAAACTGGTGGGGGGGGGGTTCTGTTAATCACCTGAGCAATCTATGAATCTCTCCTGGGTGGCTACCCAAGTGCTCAGCTTACAGGGAACACTAGTGGGGGGGACCCATGAGCAGCCCCAGCCCATGTCCCCACCCCCATCCAGGGCAGGTGGAGAGTCTGAGGCTCCCCACAACTGCCCTTGTGGTTCTTACCCCATTCATGTCACAGTAAGATCTGTCTGGGCAGCGGGGGATCCATGGACCCTCCATCTGCCCTGGGCAGGGGTACTAGGGCTGGCCCATCAGCCAGCGGCATCTTTCGAGTCCCCGATCCCCAGGTGGATGGGTCTGTGATGGCCCCAGCTGCATTGGCACCCCAGGGCTTCTCTTCCTTGGGCAAGGTCCAGATTCTGGCCAGGGAGAATGGGGAGGAGCAGGGGGCAACTGGTGAGAAAAGAGGCCAGGCCAGACCTGCCCACCTTCAACAGTGGGAAGA